AAAATGAACACTTTTGATCTTTAAAGTTTGAAAATTTGTTATAAATGGTCCCTAACCATTTTTTGACCGTTAGTCGACTTAACAAAAAAATGACGTGGCAATTAATAGGTGACTGGACTTTTTTAATTTGCTTTTCAATTTGGTCCCTAACCAGTCACCTGTTAATTGCCAGATAATTTTTCCGTTAAGTCAACTAACGGTCAAACAATACTTAGGGGTCCATTTAAAACAAACTTTCAAGCTTTAGAGACCAAAAGTATTTATTTTGAAACTTAAGGACCAAAGTGACACCTATCCCAAATCTCAGAGACCWAAAGTGTTCATTTTGAAACTTTAAATTGACACCTATCCCAAACCTCAGGGACCAAAAGTGTATTTTTTCCAATGTTCAAAGACCTTTTTCTTCTTTTTTGGTTGAGCCTGGCAGATTCTCACATCAAGTTGAACATGAAAATCAAAAGACCTTTTTCTTCTTCATGCTATTTATTTCTTAAAAGTAAGAAACGGAATGCAAATATTTATTCCTTTCTTATTATCAGTAGAAGTTAAAGGGAATATATTTGTTTGAGTTATGTTTAAGATAATCTTCTTTTTGTTGGGTTATTTTAGTATTCTAAGCAATATATACCTGTACTGTTTGGCGATCTTTCTCAAATTACAGTTACTTAAAAAGAGGAGTGAATGATCGCGGACGGGTTGCAAATGATGTTGAAACAGAGCAGATTGTCCTTGATGAAGAAGCTGGTTCATGCAGGGGAAAAATGAGTTCTGTTGTGCAGATGCGCGGTTCAATTCCTCTTTTCTGGTCTCAAGAAGCTTCTAAATTTAGCCCCAAGCCTGATATTATCTGTAAGAATATCAGTATAATGCCTTTCCCATTTGTATTTGGTTGAATACCCAACTAGAATTGGAGTTGATTTATTTTTCTTCAAAGAAACAAATTTCATTTGCAAGTGTGGCTGCAGTCTCAACTTGAGTTGAGTAAAGCTACGGAAAACATATCAGATGGAACATATAGAAATGATGTTATAAATATGATTATAAAAGAGTTTTTAGAACTTGCATGACGAAGAAACAAAAACCAGTTGGTGCCAGAAAACCTCAGAAGTTCTATCTGTTTCTCTCGAGCCAAAGAATCCAAAGAAAAGCTTTCATAAGAGGGAAAAAGGGAAAAAGGGCTATCTCATGGATTTATCTTTATTTTGGGCAGCAGTATGAGGCATTCTGAAAGTGGAAATGAATAGGTGGATTTAGTAAGATTGCTTGTATGAGGGATTGTAATCTTTCAACGGAAAAAAAATTGTATTGATGAAAAAGGAAAATAAATAAAAAGGACCGAAGCTTTGTGATTCTATTTTTTACGCTAACATAAAAGTAGATTTTTTCTTATGTTTATTGTTTTTCAAATCTCCTTATGTTTACTGTTTTTGACTTTTCAGTACAACGATATGATCCTACATATCAAGCTACAAAATTGCATTTCGAAGACCTTGCAAAGAGATATGGAAATCCAATTATTGTTCTCAATTTGATTAAGGTACATACTAAGATCTTTAATTTAGATCAGGAAAGCACAAATTGTGACATATTTTGTAATCAGAGGGGGTAAGTAGTATGGACAGTTCCAGGATTTAATGGTATGGGAAGTTAAAAGACCACAAAATCAATGTGAGAAGATTTATATATACACTATAGAAGTGAGACAGTACGGATACTAAAACCATGGGACTAATCCATGTTGGTTCTGGCTTCTTTTTCTTTTTGTTTAACTAGTGTTATTCTTTCATTCATCTTGTTAACTTCGAAGAATATTGGCATGAGTACCAGCTATTCTGTTTAATAATGTCAAACTTTTTTATGGGCAAACGTTGATAATATTTCTGGCTGTTTAGAAAACTAAAAAGATACTTTAGGCGTCTTCTTCCTTTTTGATCATCCAGCTGGATTGCTGGTTTTGAATTCATTTAGATTGTAGTTTTAGGGCAGAATATACTTTCAGTCCTTGGAATCTGGAGTAGATGTCTATTTGGTCCTGAAGTTTTAAAAGGGACACTTTAGGTAAGGTCTGCAACACGCATGTTCCTCCCTTCTTCAATTCGGTTGGTCTCACACTAGCTCCATCCGCTGTTCCTCAATGAAAATTCTTTCTTGGAATGTCCGGGGACTCAACAATTATAAAAAACGTTTGAAGATCAAGAAGTTTATACAGAAACACTGCCCTGATATCGTCCTACTTCAAGAAAGAAAGTTACAACAAACTGATGCTTCATAAAATCCCTATGGAGTTCAAAGGACATTGGCTGGACTCAAATAGATGCCGTGGGGTCTTCAGGAGGAGTGATTACTTTATGGGATGAGTGGCAAGATCCAATTGCAGGAAATCCTTCAATCACTATCTCATGTTCCTTTTCTAATTTGCAGAATTTGCGTGTTACAAATGTCTACGGGCCAACAAATTATAAAGAAAGAAAGTTTCTTTGGCAAGAGCTCAAAGATGTCCAGGGGTTTGCAGATAGATTCTGGTGTGTGGGAGGCGATTTTAATGTAACTCGGTGGATAGGAGACAGATCTTCCGGAAGAAGAATTTCAAAGGCGATGAGAGTTTTTAATTCAGTGATTGAAACTTTAGAGATAGTTGAGATCCCTCTCTATAATGGAAGGTTCACATGGTCAAAGATGGGAAATGACAGTGTTCACTCGTTGATAGACAGATTTTTTGTGTCTGTCGATTGGGCCTCTCTCTTCAATAATTCCAGGGTATATAGGGCAGAAAGGATCACCTCAGATCACTTTCCCATTTTTTTGGATGCAGGGGATTCAACTTGGGGTCCCTGTTCCTTTCGGTACTTTAATACTTGGTTGTCTGCTAAAGATTGTGTAAGTTTGATTGAATCCAAACTTTCTAATGATCATTCGTATGGATGGGCAGGCTATGCGATCTCTTTAAAGTTGAGAAATCTGAAATCTTCACTCAAGCATTGGCACCATCAGAATGAGGCAGCCCGGAAGGCTTCAGAGGATAAAATTATTGAGGAAATTAATCTGATTGATTTATTGGCAGAAAGTTCGGAGTTAAATTAGGAGGACATTGATAAAAGAAGTCTGCTGAAACATAAGCTTCTTGACTTATATATTTGTGAGGAAAGGATTCTCATTCAGAAAAGTAAAATAAGATGGCTCAAAGAGGGTGATGAAAACAGTAAATTTTTCCATCGGTTTTTAGCAGCAAAGAGGAGGAAAGCATCCATATCTGAACTACAGAATTCTCAAGGAAAATCTCTTGTTAATCTAAATGATATTGAGATTGAAATATTCTCTTTTTTCTCTTCTCTATATCAGAAAATAAGGAAGATGAGGCTGCTTCCAATTGAGTTACAGTGGAGGCCAATTTCTTGGCAAAACAGAATTTGGCTGGAGAGAGAATTTGAGGAAGCAGAAATATGGGAGGTAGTTAAGGGACTTGGTAAGAAGAAAGCTCCGGGGCCAGACGGTTTTACTCCAGAATTCTTTATTAAGTTGTGGAAGTTTTGGAAGAATGACTTTGCTAGACTTTTCTCAGAATTTTTTACGAATGGGCATGTGAATAAGAGCCTCAAAGAAAATTTCATTTGCCTTATTCCTAAAAAGGATAAAGTGGAAATGGTTAAAGACTTCCGTTCCATAAGTCTCACAACTACCACTTATAAAATATTGGCCAAGGCATTAGTTGAAAGATTTTGTAAAGTTATACCGGATACAATATCTTGCAATCAGAGTGCCTTTTTGAGTGGAAGACAAATACTTGATCCCATTCTAATGGCCAATGAGATTATGGATCATTATAGAACTAAAAAGAAGAGTGGGTGGATTCTAAAGCCAGATCTTGAAAAAGCTTTTGACCTAGTAGATTGGGATTTTTTGTCAGAGGTGCTAAGTAGAAAAGGTTTTGGGCAGAGATGAATTTCATGGATTAATGGGTGCATTAGAGACAACAAGTTTTCCATCTTCATTAATGGAAGACCAAGAAGAAGAATCCTTGCTTCAAGAGGCTTAAGGCAAGGTGATCCTCTTTCTCCATTCTTGTTCTTAATTGTGAGTGACGTTTTGAGCAGTTTGTTGGAACACATATACTCTATAGGAGCATTTGAAGGATTTACTGTTGGTTGGAATTCGGTGCATATTTCACATTTGCAATTCGCCGATGATACACTATTGTTTTGCAAAGACGATGATAATATGTTGGCTGTATTGTTTGACACAATTAAAGCCTTTGAATGGCTCTCGGGATTGAAAGTAAATTGGGAGA